AACTTCAGAATGAAATAAAGAGAGGTTGATTTTATTAGAAATGTGCAAAATTTACGTTTTTTTTTTCTTTGTAACTGTCTTTTTTTTGACGTATGATATACCATACGATGGGCAATGAAGGACACAATATTTTATAAGATATGTTTTATTTTAAAATATTTACAACGTGTGATATTTGACAAAACATTTCTCGGGATGAAGTCCTACATTACATTTAATGCATCGATATTTGGCACACTTGCCACATTTGCCGCACCTTCGTTGTTTTTTAATTTTTTTCCACCAAATGACCCACATTATCCAAACGAATTTCATCAACCATGTTTTAAAGATTTTGGACGTACTCCACGTGGTGTTGAAATATCTGGAGCTGTCAGCAGGTCTCCACAATTCGTCTGTAAAATTCTAATAAAGAAATTGCCTCAATGTTGCGGTAAAGAAGCCACATGTTGACTATTGCCCCATTCAAGCAAAATCTAAATATCGCCCAATACCATAGCTTATTATTATATTATAGACTTAAATATTAGTTGCCATAGTAACTTCATTATTGTCATTCCAGCGAACAAGAGTGAGCTGATGTTCTTCGCTATATAGAGCGTGGGAAGTTCCACGAATTTCTTTTCTTAGTTCTTTGAGTGGGGCTTTTTTAATTCTGTCTTTTCTAATTGTGCCGATACAGTGTATCTTTTCATCTCTCAACCGTGTCAGTAAAGGTAAAGATGTAAAAAAATTATCAATATAGATAACAGATTCTTGTGGTAAAAACCCTATACACAACTTTCGGTTACGGAACTTCCTAATGAGTTGCCCTGTAATTTATCTTCACTTCCAGTATAGGGAAGAAATTTTGCAAGGTAACCTTTACTGGTCGCAACACACCAAAATTTATATCCGTAACGGATGGGTTTTCCTCGGATAAACTGCTTCATTAAATGATGCCCATAATACGGCTCCATCGCTTCGTCCACTGAAAAAACTTCCGTTCACTGGCTGGAGGTAATAATGAAAACGTTCATTTAGATGGTTAATTAGGGGTTGAACTTTGAATGCTTTATTGATTTGTTGGTACAACGTATTATCGTGAAAGTGTAAAAATCTATGAATCTGTTCAAATCTGTTTCGACTCATAGTATTACTTACTAGATGTGAGTGAGAGTCCCCTCGACATTCCCAATACATTCTTCTAGAAGGCAGTGGATGGTACCCAGAGAGAATAAGGATGCCGAAGTATTTATATAAATCATCAACGGACAAAGAGAAAGGCAGGGTTTTGTCTGAAGCATACTTTACCGTTTCTTTGCAAAGATAGTCCATAAATTTTTTATCAAAGAATAATTTAAACACATTGATTGGCTTCAAATTTTGTTGTCTCCATTCAGTTAGTATATAGTTCTATATTATTTTTGAAAACATCATTTATGGCTCCTTTCTCTAGTTCTTTTTCTTCCCACTTACGATCGATTCTTTCATAGATTTTTTTCTGTTTTCAGAAGTTTGTGAAATTTCTGCAACCTACCTTTTTCTTTTCTTACCTGATTCGTGAGTTTTAGCCACAGTTGCATTTGACATCACTGTTTTCTCAATTGTTGTATTTTTTCGAGAAACAGCTGTAATATCCATGCTTTGAGAGGCCAATACTTTGAAAAGTGTAATTGACTGGTCTTCGTCATCACTTCCGGCATCGTCTCTGTCAGAATCATTTCCATCATTTGGATAATACAACGTGAGTTGAACTTCATCACACTGGTCAATTTCCTTAGCCAAAGTATCATCATCTTCTAAACTCTCATATATTTTCAACAATTCCTCTGCATCTTTGGGATTATTAGGATCATATCTTTTCGTCATTTTTTTCTAAAACAGAAACAATATTGATTAGTTACCATAAGTGCCCAGCGTATTATATATCATACGCAAGAATCAAAGATCTTCAAAATACTCACCAGTATAAATTTCAACACTATTTATATCACTATTGGATATTTAGAAGCCTTTGTAGTTGAAGAGTACAAAAGATTTTTCAAAATAAGCCAAGAAAGTCATACAAACTCTACTAAAATGAAAACGGTGTACTATAATATAACCTAAGAAAACTTGGCGCAAAACTAATCACTCTTCACCGCCAAGCGGTTTTAAATTTCTCATTTTATGATAAACAGTTACCTTCTATCATCTACTCTGTACTAACCTATATTGGGAAAACAGCTAATTTATACTTTTTTTTCTGACTAGTAGATGGCGAAATATGTAGCAGTGTCTCACGTATTACATAAAATACGGTGGGCATTAATGGGTGCTTATTCGTCATTCGTATCTTCGATGAAATTCTAGAACAAATTATTGTGTATATCAACTGCTTGGCTCCTTTAAATAGACAGTAATTAGACGAGTGATACTCATATTATTGTCGGTGATAAATAGTAGTGTACCTATTTATAATTATTAATGAGATATTTGGTATTTAGTGAGTTTATTTTGTAGTCGAGTTGTAACAAAATTGTAACAAATTTTTTTTATATTGCTCCACTTTGGGCGCTACTGTAACAAATAGTAGCTAGATCACTTGGGACCAGGTCCCTGATGTTATAAGATCTGTAGAGTAGTGTGGAGATAAGTTCGAAACTAAATTAAAATAGAAGTTGAAACTGAATGCAGTTCGGCTAGCTGGGTATGCTTGAGACTGGCCAGTTGATACTCAAGGTAGGGTTAGGCCTATTTGCATGCCCTGCGAAAACAGTAAAGAATAGAAAAGATGTAAATTAACTAAGAAAATATAAGAATAACCAAAACGAACTAAGAGTAAGTACTGAAAACCGGAATAAAGGAAAGAAGAATGATTTGGGCGCCAGGGAAGATGTTTACTGGACTCTTAGTCTAACAAACACTTCACCGTGTAACTTTATTGCTGCTGCTGACTATGTTTCTATAATTAGATATAACCTTATTAAATAAAAAGAAGGTTTAATAAAACAGAGTCTTACTTAAAACCCAATTTAATAACAATAAAATAGAAACCTGTAAACCTCGTAATATACAATTTAACTTAAATACCCTTATAATATACACTATTATTGACCCCTTTTATATATACAATATATTTACATTTAATAATCTACTAGAAAAGTATCAACTTATTTTATGAAGTTTTATTTATGAATTAAAGCAAAAATTAATGACAACCAACATTTGACAATTTAAACAACTATAACCCCTCCCTATAACACAATATATCAGTTTGACAGTTTCCAAATTGATTCCAATCAGATAACCTGTAGATATATTTAAATTGGTCTGTCCAGAAAGGAACAGATACAAGATGAATTGGTGATGTTACAAGTAGGGCTGTAGAAATACAAAATAGACCTTTGTGCACAAATGATCTTACAAAAAACAATTGTATTATGATCCACCCCTACCCTGTTATAACTGATACATATATAATATATTTAAAAGATTTAATGATAAAATAAACAAATGATATTGAGAAACAAAATTGAACGTTATATAACTAATGATACGAAAATATGAGTTAAGAAAATTGACTAAGATTATTATTAAGGTTTTGTTCGTTGACTGATTAAAGTTTAAACAAAATTTAAGGAAATTATTTTAAAATAGTAGGAACAATTATTATAAAGGAACCTGACTAATCTCAAACTGAGAAAGTTCTTCTTCCGGATGCTTACGTCACTGGACTTGTAAGGTTGAAACTAGAAGTACACTCTTCTAGTAGTTAACTGAACTGCTACTCCAGTAACCGGGAAAAACCAAAAAAAAACTCCAACCAAACTACATGGACTCCATTACCCCAAATTCAAAATAATCCTGATTTGACTTTATAATCCTTCTTTCCTCCAGCGACTAAAAATAAAATCAAAGAAAGCTCTCATTAGCTTTATTCTGAGTTGATAAACAAAAAGGCGATTAGGACAAAAAAAAACTAGCCGAATGATGATAATTAGTGAAGGTTTGTACACTTTTTGTGACCTTGGAAAATTAATTGAAAACTATGTATTTATAAAAATAATGTTGGGATTTAACTATGAATATTTCAAAGAAGAATTGAAATTTAACATATCTTAACGAATATATTATAGGCACAGAGTAATGAAGGGTCTCCTTACATTACCGAATTGCTTGGATATTGATGAGAACGTGTACTTAGGAGAATTTCGAACAGAAAGAATTCTGAACGTGATTTGACTGATATAATTAAGGAAAATTAATTGGATAAATGATATAAATATGAAACTAGTAATGGTTAAAAAAAATCATTTACTTTAATTAAAATGAAACTCACCCAACGCAACACTATTTCACTAATTAAAACAAAATCTTCTTATCCCAAAACTTCTAAATTCAAAACAAAACGCCTTCTGTAACTTAAATAATTGACCTCTGAATAACTTAAAAGGTTTTTCGGCTAACTTGAAAACCACGTGCGTTGGCCGCTGGATTCAATCAGTCCTCTGTCCCGTTCAAACGCTGGATATAAAGTGCCTTCTTACACTTTTAAAATCGTTGGCTTCCGTCAGCTCCAAGGTAAACGGAAACGGCAGGTAGGCAGTTTGACCAATTGACAAACAATTGATAACCCCATTACATGTATAGTTGGTTGCATACCTTACAGGCAGAATTAAGTTATTTTAAATTTTCAGTAACGATAAAGAACTCTTATCGTTACAGAGTGAACTACGTGTACTTCACTTAATTCATGAACCTAATGAAAAACGTAAAAATATTTTTGTTGTTTTTTAGTATGTAGTCAACATTATTTTTAGTGTTTCCATCTATTGATATCTATTTCCACATCCGTGTGTGTTTTTTTTTTAAGAAAGACTTTATTGCATTAAGTTTATGGTTTTTGTAAATAGTCAAATTACTGTGTTACCTTTTTCATTTCTTGTTCCGTATCCAAATAATCCTAGACAATTTTTAATTTATTCGTAAGTATATTTAATTTTCTTGCGTTTTCAAATATATTTCCGTATTTTCAGGTATGCATGAAAACTACTTTAATGAAATTACCAGATGGCAGCCTTTTGAAAAACGGCCTTTTCCCTCTTCCGATATTGTAGACAAATGGGGTAAAATGATATTTAGAAGAAAAGGTCGTAGAAGTCATAGTTGATGAATATATTAGTAATTAGAGACATGCAAAAAAATTGGTTCATTTTAAAAATAAGATGTATTATAATATTTGATTAACAAGAATGTAATAAAGTTTTGTAAATTATCTAGCATATATTTGTATAATTGTAGTTTATTACAAATATTCTGTGCAGCCTAACATCTGGATCGATTAAAAATGTAATCAAAAAAATAGATGGTAAGAAACACCAGGCAATGGACTGGCTTAGACTCTTTATATATCTATGAGCTTTTTCTTTTCTCTATTAACCAAAAATTGTTTACATAGTTTTTCTCTCCATGACATTTTTCCACTCTATTTACTTTTCTTTTTGAATTATGCGAAGTCCTTAATGGCAAATGTGGTCGCCTTCCAGTTCCAATTTCAATATTTTTTGTTCATCTAGCCTCTCTCACATCTGTTTCTCACTTATGGAATTAGCTTTATGTTAATTTAGTATGGATACATTTTTTCCAGGTTTCTCTTTGGCGGTCACTTTGGTTAATATTCTAGCACAGCATAGTAGGTATATCTGTTCATTTATCAATACATTTTTTTTTGTCGTGACACCTTACATGAAATAACCTTTAAGCTCTGGCAGGTTAACAGTTAAGATTATTATGATAATATCATTCCTATCATGTAAGAGGTAACAATGAAAAAAACGGGTATGGCGGTCCAGTGGGACTGCCGGTAGAAGTTATACTTCTATACACGCGTTCGCCGTTACAAATTTATATGGAAGTCAATCTGCACAATAATTACATATGTAATGCTATAGGTAAGAGAGAGCAGAAAGAGAAAAAGAATTAGGTATATAGGTATATGGTTCGGTACTCTTTTGTCCGAGGGTTGGGAAACTGGCCCTAAAGGCGAAGGAACCTCAGTAGAGGTCAACGGCATAAGGATGTAGAAGGCCGAGGACAACCACTACATTAAAGATTCCATTGAATAGTCCTAGTATAAAATCGTATATAGTAATGCTCACAACCAAATACGATTCCGGAGTAAGTTCCCCAATCGGATCTCCGGGGGGGGGGGGGGACAGTTACATTAAAGATTCCATTGAATAGTCCTAGTATAAAATCGTATATAGTAATGCTCACAACCAAATACGATTCCGGAGTAAGTTCCCCAATCGGATCTCCGGGGGGGACAGTTACATTAAAGATTCCATTGAATAGTCCTAGTATAAAATCGTATCCCAGATAGCACAAGTACGTCCCATGGACGTCCGAAGGATGTACCTCACTAAATGTCCGGACATCCCACGGATATCCGTTTATATAATTTGGACGTCCCCGGGACGTCCAATAAGACCTAAATGTTACCAAAAAGTACGTCCCCTGGATGATCAAATGGATGAAGACTTGCAAACCGTTTCACAAAGATATTTTTAAGCAATAGTGCATATTAACGTGTTCAGAAGTGGATTCATAGTAATGTACCGTATAGCTCTCCAAAAATTTCACGACAAAATATCAGCAAAGTGTGGATTATTCATAATTTTTATCTTCAGCATCATTGCCGGATGCTGTAACTACATCAAACACAAAATCTTGTTTAAATACTGATGTCGGTCCACTAAATAGTCATCTTGAATATTCAGAAATGTCATGGAATCCAGAAATGAAACAAGAGGGCAGTTCTGAAACTGAACACCTTAGTATGCAACCCAATGAAGATCTTTTAGTGATAGGGCAAAGAGGAATCCGAACGCAAAAGCCACTCCTCAAAAAGGGTTTCAAGGAGAATTGAAAAATGCACAGGAAAAAATAAAGCAGTACAACCCAAGTAGTCTTAATAAAAAAATGCGGTAATAAAAGATAAGTGAATAAGATACTTAGAGTTTTATTTTTGAAAACTATTGGGGTATGGCAAGCTCACAACGGCAAAGAGATTGAATCTTATCCTGTATGGTGGAAACTCCAATTAAACGAAAAAAGGCTGAGTCTATGCGAAAATCAAAAACCATTGAGCATTATATTCCATATAACAATGAAAAGGTAAAAGTTTGCCAACAATATTTAATTAAAACGCTTACGATATACGAAAGAAAATGCCCTAAACCAATAACATGGGTGAACAAGACCACAGAGGGAAAAGAAGCTCCAAAAATAAATTTCTTTCTAATCAAGTCTCTTTGGTAAAGAAATACATTAAACAACTACCGGCTGTTCTTTCGCATTACTGTAGGAACAAAAGCAATAAATTATATCTTCCAGCCGAGTTTGAGAACACTACAAATCTGTATCGGTTATACAAAAAATATCTCGTTGACTGTGAAAAACTAACTGAAATTGTATCACTCAGTAAGTTTCGGAAAAAATTTCGGTCAGATGTTCATATTGGTTTTCATCTGCCAAAGAAAGACAAATGTAATCTTTGTGAGAAGATTGAAGTATTTAAACAAGAGAAAGAAAAGAATACAGAATCCTACAATCAACACATTAAAGATAAAGAAAACTGCCTTGAAATTTGTTTGAAAGACCAAAATCTTTCAATAGAAGGATCTGTGCTGTGTGTCAGCTTTGATCTGGAGAAACATTTTATGAAAGCGGTTCTGCAAATGTTTTTGTTACTTATTAATCAGATGCAACAAGAGGCTGCAACGTAATTTATAATATTATATATAATATTATAATATTTTACATGTATTTAAAAAAGAAAGATATTGAAGCCACACATGAAAAAATTAATCAATATTGCGACAGCTGTTCTGGACAGAATCGTAATAAAGCAATGCTGGCCATGCTATCCTACTTCATCGATAAAAGTGCCTTTATAAAGAATATAAAAAAAAACATTTCTACATACAATTCCCTGTAACCGCGCTATTATGATCGTTTCACTTCTCGCAGGCACGACTGTATCTTCTTTAACGGCTGCTTGCACAGTGTTGTCATTATGTGGATGAAGAAATACCTCCTCGTTACCAACTTTGATTCTTCTTCTTTTTGTGCCACTCCTATCGGAGATTGGAAATCATCAAGGCTATTCTGACCTTGTTTACGGCTGATCTAAAGAGTTCATTAGTGGTGCAGCCAAACCACTCTCTCAAATTCCGCAACCATGACATTCTTCTACGGCCTGGATTTCGTTTTCCTTCTATTTTTCCCTGCATTATATTTTGAAGTAATGCGTATTTATGTCCTCTCATCAGGTAACCAAAATATTCGAGTTTTCTTCGCTTTAGCGTTAACAAAATCTCTGGGTCTTTTCCTATTCTTCGTATTACTTCACAGTTTGTTATTCTTTCAACCCAACTAATCTTCAGCATTCGACGGTAGCACCACATCTCGAAACTTTCAATATTTTTCATGTTGTTCTGTTTGAGAGTCCAGGCCTCTACACCGTATAATAGCGTGTTAAATACATAGCCTCTCAGCATTCTTAATCGTAGAGGGATGCTTATATTTCTGTTGCAGAAGAATTTTCTCATCTTTATGAAGGTGGCCCTGGCAATTTCGATACGTCTTTTTATTTCACTGTTTTGGTCTCCAGTTTCATTTATTAAAGTTTCCAAGTATTTGTAACTTGATACTTTTTCAACTTCAGTGCCGTTTATACTAATATACGCTGGTTGTGTCATGTTTTTACTGAAGACCATATACTTGATTACCTTATTCTTAAAATCCAATTGGAATCCGTGTATATTCATTACGTCCATTCCTAATATAACATCCTCTTCGATGTCAGCAACTATAACAGTATGGACGAACTTTTCTGCTCCAATTTCTAATTGTATCTGGATTTCTCCATGAATGTTGACATTTTTACCCGTAGCAGTCAGAAGTCGCAACCTCGTTGGTAACAATTTCTTACGGCTGTTTATAACTGTCGGGCGTATAATGGTTCTAGTCGCTCCGGTATCCACCAACAACGTATGCTTTTTACCATTTATTTCTCCATCTACATATACACTATCTTCATGACATTTCAAAGAAGCTATGAGTATGAGAGGGTTTTGGAAAAGTTCTGGGTCGAAGCTGCCCCCCCCCCCCCAAGGCCGACCCGTTCTAGTTTTCCTGATGGTGAGATTCTTGATTTGCGTCTTACCTAGGGTGCTTACAGGAACTTCGTACGTGTCCTATTTCTCCACAATTCCATTATCTTATGGTCTTCGTTTTCTTATATGTCATGCTTTTTATCTGCTGGTCAAGTTTATCTTCATCTCCTTCCTTTTACAGTCCTAACTTTACTGTACCCGCCAGAGGCCTGAGTAGCCGACTCGTATTCGAGGGCGGCGGATAAGACATCAACCAGCGTCTTGTGACGAGCTAATCGCAGTATTATCTGCATTTTATGATCACGAAGACCATCAATAAACGTTTGAACAGCCAACTTTTCCATCATGTCTTCGGGAACTGTTGGATAAGCATATCGTAGTAATCTGGCAATATCTACCTGATATTCTTGAAGAGCCTCATCTTTCTTTTATCTCTGATTTTTAAGCTGAGACTGATATACATGTTCCAAAATTTTCGTGGCCATATCGCATATTTAACCTCTTCTTAATTTGTTCGAAATCATCCGTCTCCTCTACGGCTATGGTCCGAACACATCTAATGCATATCCTCGAAGAGCGATAGTCAGGTTTACAGCCTTTTCTTTTTCAGACCATCCGTTCGCTCTTGCAGCTGATTCGAACTGTTTCATGTAGTTGTTCCATGACGATTTTCCGTCGAAAGTTGGGAAGTTGACATGAACAGAACCTCCACTTCCTTCAAATTTCGGCCGTGTTTTCAACTTACATTTCGTCTCGTCTTCTTTTGTCTCTACTGTAATTGGATTGTTTCCTCTCTCTGCTGTACCTGTTCCCTCCATCTTCCTTTCCATCTCTTTCATCTTTTCTTCGAAGGCCGACATATTGGCAGCAACTTGTTTTTTTAACGTAGACACTCTATCGTCGAGGGCAGACATGTGATGTCACCAGAAAGTTTGTTCGCTAATTTCGAAATCGACGAGATGACAGTAACATGTTTGTCTTCAAATATATAAGTTTCCTGGTCTAAACCCTCTTCTTTCAAAGCGTTCTTTAGTCGTTGAACTAAATCAGCCTTTTTTCTCGGTAGAAGCTAATTCTCTGTCCTTAATGCTTAAATCCGTAAA